AGCGGCAGAGGCAGAGAGCCCAGCGGTGAGAGGAGGCACAGAGTCCAAGAAACCAAAGGCAATGGCTGGGCAGAGGGCGGAGGTGGGTGACTGATCTGTGCCTGACAGACCCTGGCTCAGGTGGGGCAAGGGGCTCGTTAGGAAGTGACTGCATCCATCCAGGTGTGAGGCGGTGGTGGCCGAGAAAAGGACACATTTCCATAGTCTGTGAGCTCCCCGAGAGTGGGGTCTATGGTCTGGGGTCTCTTCACCTCCCTACCCCAAAAAGAACTAGACGCTTACCTAGAATCTGAGAGGTAGCCTGTACACCCCTCAGACAAGACTAGGCTGTATTTAACTACAACCCCCAGAAGAGGTGTCTGCTGACTTATTTGCTGAGTAAGCAAAAGTGTCTTTGTTCAGAACGTGGGAGAAGTACATTTTAATGCCACATGGCCCTCCCGCACACTTAGGGCCTCTCAGGACTACTTGGTCAAAAAACCCTTTGGCCACTAAATGACACCACCCGCCTCGCCAAGCATGGAAGATTAAAGACCTCCCCAGCCCCCTGCCAGGGCTGCCAGCTCCTCCTTCCCAGACAAAAGCAGCGGAAAGCCATCAGCCTTTTCTTGGCATGGCAAGTAGGGTCTTTTGCAGGTTCATCCCCATGGGAGTTTAGGGGATCTCTGCCCTTTCCAATCACCCCAGGCGATAAGTGTTTACTCTTCTGCATATTGCATGAGCCCCTGGACCTCTGCAATTACGGTTCTGCAGATTTCAGTGGTGATGGACAGTCCCTGGAGAGTGGCTAAGTGTGGGCAAACATCAGATCCAGGATGCAACCCCGGCTTGGTGGTGCCTCTTCCCTCTCTATGCAATCATAGCAGGACCCACCACAGGGACCATCTTTACATGTTACCTGCTTAGCACAGCGCCTGGCACACAACAAGTACTCAATAAATACCACATTTATGCTTGGGCGGGGGGAGAGGCGGGAGGCTTATGAGCAATAAGCTTTTTCTAATGCATGGTTTCCAAACTTTGAGAAATTCTTTACCATTTCTAAATATAATTTTTTAAAGAAGGGACTGATTTAACCATCCTCATCTCTCTTCCCCAGATTAAAAATTTTTTGAAGGTGGAACCTGGGTCTGCTTGTAAATTAAAAATGTTAACCGCAGCCAGTGCGTTTACTGCACTCTGACCAGGTGAGAGGCATGGCTCTGAGGGGTTGGCATGTACTACAGACGGCATGGAAGGTCAAAGACCTGGACTCTGCCACTGACGCTCTGTGGCCATAGGCAAGTTATTTAACCTTTCTGGCCTCAGTTTTCCTATGTGTAAAATGGGAATAATGCAACCTATCTCACGGGCTCCTGTTCCCTTTACAATAGTTACTGGCACAAAGTGCCATCTGAGTGTAATTGGTTTAGCACACACGCTGCCTCTCAGTGACTCGCAGAGCAATGGGCTCAGACCAAGCTGATCTCTGTCACCCCTTGCAAAGATCCATTATTCTCGTGCTACCTGTTTTCCAGTTCCAGATCAAGGTCCTCTCATCTGCCTTTCCATTCTCTGCCCTTTCATGGTTTCCCGTGTGTGTCTGTCCACCTCACCCCCTTAACTTGATGTGTGTTCTCTGAGGGACAGGGTGAAGAAAAGGAGACAGGATAAAGCCATGAAATTGGGTGGTGGGACCTCAGCTAAGTCGCTTCCCCTCTCTGGGCCTTGAATTTATCATCTGCGAAATGGAGATAATACTCCCCACTTCACAGGGTTGTTGAGAGGAATAAAGGAGATAATCCGTGTGTGGGCTCAGCACTGTGTTAGGATCTATAGTTAGCTCAGGATCTAGAGCTTTCAAAAAAAAAAACAAAACACAAAAACAAAACAAAACAAAAAAACAAAGGCATTTTGTGAATCAATGCTCGAGGTCATTACTCGCTTCACCGTTAGAGGGTGCTCCAACGGCGCAGAGAGGCTGTCAGCCCACCAAGCCTCCGGCTGCTCTGCCCCATCCCTCCCAAGAAGCATCAGGGTTAAGGCTGCTTCGCGGATCCCCTAACATGTGTGTAGGTTGGCGCCAGGGGTCACAGAAACATATAATTCTGGAAATCAACATTTCTTTCATTTCTGCTTTAAGTCTAAAGCAAACCCTTGCACATACACAAGTCCCTTTCTGGGAGGGGAGGCGGGGCTGGAGAGGCCCACCCCACTCTCATTGGGCTTTAAGCCTTTTGGACAAATTGGTGATTCTGAGCTTCTGCAGCGTGTATAGTCTTTTCTCTGCAGAGTCCTCACTGCCCTTCTTGTGCCAAATGCCACAAAGTCAAAGGCTGTCAGAGGGAGAAGAGGCCCTGAGACAACCTTAACCCTAAGGAGGAGACTGGTTGCCTGGGGAGGTCTGCCTGCTGTCTCTGCTGCCGCCTCGGGTCATCCTGCCCTCCCTTTCCTGTACTGTTCTTTCTCACCAAAATAAAATAAAATAAAACAAATCCTCCAAAACTCTAAGATGGCTTCCTCTGGAGCTAGGTCTCCCTCCTCTGCCAAGGCTATGCTTTTACTCCCCCACTCTCCATCCTCATTAGAACCTCCACAAACAGCCACGGGGGAGGGAAAATGAGGCTCAGAGCCCTGAGGCCAGTGGCCCAGCCTGCGTGATAAACTCGAAGTCAAGTGATTTATGGTCAAATTCACGTTGGATCCCCCAGCGAGGAGGGAGGCATGCAGAACAAATCCTGAGAGGAAAGCTGAGCGCAGGAAGGCAGGTGGACCTCAAACGCCTCTCCCTGTTCCGTGTCATGAGAAGACCACATTCGCTCTCCCCCTGGGCTCTAATTCCAGGCAGAGCCAAAAGGGAGATAAGGACTCTCACCTGCAGAAGCGACCTCCCTGCCACCCGCTCAGGTGGGCAGCCCCCACCTGCTTCATCCGCTCCCTTCCTGGAGCCCTGCTGGCCTTCCCAAACCCTGGATTTTTCAACGAGGATTACCCCCCCTTGCCCCCCACTCCCAGGACCCTCCAGCTGAAGCTAGAGCCACTGGGGCCTGCTGCCAGGGGCTCTTCGGGGACTCACAACCACCCCCTGCCCAGCTGGGGCCCCTCTGGAAAGGCCCGCCCTTGGGCGGCCGCCGATCTGTCCCTCCCTTGCAGGCCCCGTGCTTTGCCGGGGCTAGGGGCCCGAGAGGGGGCTGCTGGGGCTGGGCCAGATTACCTTCAGGAGGAAAGTTTTGGGTTTGGGTCCCCTCTTCTTGGGCCCATACAGCTCACGCTCCCTCTCCCTGCGGCCGAGAAACACCAGAGGTTAAAAAGAGCCCCTTCTCGGGCCCCACTACGCGCTGTCCTCCCCAGCTCCCCCGTTTCCCCGCGCGGTGCCCCAGCCAAGCCTCGGCCCTGATGCCCCTGCCAGCTTCCCAAACTCACTTCTGCTCGAAGGCTGCAATAAGCCGCGAGTCCAGGATGTTCTCTTCGGGCTCCCAAGTACTGTACCTGCCGAGTCGCACATGCACAAAATAAAAATGAAAACCAAACAGGCAGAGGCACATGCGAGGGAGCAAACATGCGCACTCCCCAAGGATTTTAAGGCCCGGGGTGGCCTCCCCTCCCCCCTCGCCCCTGGACCCCAACGACACTCACTTGATGGCCCACCCCTTCCATTTCACCAGGTACTCGATGCGCCCCTGAAAAAAGAAGAAAAAAAAAAGGGGAGTGGGGGTGGGGAGGATGCGGGGACGCAAGGAGGCGGCGGCGCGGGGGTAGAAGACAGAGCCCGGGTTAGCGGAACCTCTTCTCCCCGATGGCCCGTGGACCCGGCCACCAGCTGCGGGGCGAGGCGTGCGGCCTCGGGAGGCGGCTCACCTTTCGGATCCGCCGTTTGATGATGGATTCGGCCGCGAAGACCCGCTCGCCCACTGCAGACAGCTCCATCTTGCTCAGCGGCACCCACAGCCCATAATACTCCCTGCTCCCGCGGCCGG